ACCGAAGGACCTGTTAATGAACCGGTTTCAAGCCGCGCTAGGGTTGGCTCAAAAAAAATTTGATACAAAATTTTGGCCCATAGCTCAACTTGTTTATTTCAATCCGAGCTTATATTCGAATCAATTTTTGAGCGATTAACAATCTTCGAGCTAAATTCGCTAAATTCACAGCCCAAACATCACTGGGAATATTAACGATATGATTTCAAGCTAAGCTAGGGTCGGCTCAAAAAAGATTAGATTCAAAATTTTGGCTCGTAGCTCGGCTCATTTATTTCCATCTGATCTCGATCCGAGCCAAAATTTGAATCAATTTTCGAGCGATTAATGGTCATCGAGCTAAATTCGCTAAATTCACAGCCCTAACATTATTAGGGCAATTAAAAAATCTGATTTCGAGCTAAGCTCAAATCTGCAAGAAATTAGCTCGAAAAACCTTCGATACAAAATTTTGGTCAGTGGCTCAAGTCATTTATTTTGATTCAATTTTGATCTGATCTCAATCTAAGCCTAAATTTGAATCAATTTTCAGGCGATTAATGATCTTGGAGACAAATTAACCCTCGTATTTCTTAAGATCTCTCATAGTCCCCAAGATCCTCCCATGATGCCTCCAATCCTTGACTCCTAAAATATAAAAAAAGGCCCTTTATGGCATATACCCAATCTATACCCTTAAAAATAGACAAAAAGAAAATAGAAAATAAAATCTCAATTGTTCCTCAAATACCAAAATTCCCAAAAAAAAATATTAAAATTAAAAAATTTTAAAATAAGGCAATCAGTTTATCCGCAAAACAACTTCTCCCCCACATTAGGTTATTTCAGGGAGCAAAATTCAGATCTAGGCCAAGCTCAAAAAGAAGCCAAATTGTACTAATGTTGTCGAAGAAATCCAACTCAAAATTTTAACATGATAAGGACATGACACAAGCATTATGATTAAATGGTTAGTTAAAAAGCATCAGACGCAATTATACTATAGTTATGACAAAAGTTAATGTGTTCCCCAATCACATGAATTCATGCTTCTAGCTGTGCTTGATGGCACTTCTGTTAGTTTGATTTGATAAGAAATTGACCGCTTAGTTAGCTTGATCATCGATTTATAAAGGCCTACTAAATGAAGCATCTCATCATTATTGGCAAAAATCTTCGAGCTACGTTGCATCACTACACCATTGAATAAATAGAATATAATCCTTGACTGCTTGAAATAGCATAATATAAGATTTTGATCAAGTGAGTCAAAAATCCCCAAACCAAGCTCTTCTAAGAATATAAGTTGATTAATATTCAGTTGCACCAGAAGTGTTGTTACAAAAACACATTTATATGAGAGCATGCGATGAGTGCTAGCATTCATTTAAAGTGCTTATTACCCTCAAAAAGAGAAAAACTAAATCATGAATTGTGTGGAAATCTGAGAAGATTTTGAAAGAAACTAAGAAAATTATAGAAGATTTGATTGGGACTACTTAGGAAACTCGTGATTTTATTCATTTCCTATTCTATGTTATTTTATGTTTTATTTCAGAATTACTTCATATCCTAATTTATGTTAGATACATTTGGTAAATTTGTAATTTGAAAAGATTGTTTTCCTATATATATATATATATATATATATATATCATACA